AAAACAACAAGCGTATCGGGAAAATTAGCAGACAGCAACTCGACACAGTAACACAATAAACTCATCTAGCAATTTTGAACAAAACCACCGAAAAAGTTGGATAAATTTCATCCTGGTTTGAGAAGACTTCAGTCTTGCTGGGTCCTTTATTTTGAAATGATGAAGCTAATTATTTTTAATGGGCTAAAATCTAAAAAGAAAAACTTTAAAAATCAAGTTTCAAAAAACCTCAAAAAATGCGCAAAAACTATTGAGATAATTCAGCTCCACCGCAATAAAGGCACTAAATACAGCCAATCAAGCCACCAAAAACAATAGGGGCTTTCACAATTTTGTTCAACTACGGAACAAACAAACAAAATTGAAAAAATATATATTATTCTGTCTAATTTTTTTCCACTTTTCACAGAGTATAAAAGGTTGATTCAAACATTTCTGAAAAGCCATATAAGACACCAGTCAATCTTAGAAATTATTAAAGAAGGAAAATTCAAAAAAAACATCGGGAAAGTGATCCGACAAAATTAAAGCCGACCTCTTCCAGCGCCAAAATTCTTTTGAAGATATTCAGCACACACAACAAATACTCTCAAAGAACTCTTCACAGGCACCCAAAGCCCATAAATAACATTTAACCACTACTCTAACCATCGTGCTACTGAAATTACTTTCATTTGTCCATTCTGTGAACAAAGTTATTTCGGTGATAAGTAAAGAGATAGTAAACTGATGGCAATTACGGGTCCCATGTTAATCATTTCTGACTTTTTTGTGTCTAGCTTGAAATTTTCAATGAATTTCCAGCGTTAACTCTTTTGACCTTAGAGATTAAATCAAATCGAATCTCCTCTTTCTTATTAGAACAATTGGTTTCTTGTAACGTAAAGCCATTACGAGGCCAAACTGTGCACTGGATAGGGGCAAAATTTTGTGTCTGTATCTTCCTGGATTCCACAGATAAAACTTAAAACATATTCCGAAATGTGAGTGGATTTTACTTACAAAACTTCCGTGGATTCCGCGTACAAATACCTGTAATGTAAATTTTGTCGGCACATATGTTGTGCAGCGGATTCAGCAACAAGCGAATATAGCTAGTTGTTCTGGATTCCGCAGCTTTACGTGGATTCCACCAAGTGCAAGTTGAATCCGCAAATGTAAGGGGAATCCGCATAAATTGTAAGCAGAATCCGCAAACTGTAATTGGATTCAGAATTTTGTTTATTGCTGAACTTGCATATGAACAATAAAAAGCTAGAGCTGGAATTATTATCTATAACAATGCGGAATTTTAAGCCAAGGACTTAACCATTGTCAGCGGAATCCACGAACAAATCTCAAAACACCTTTTAACTAAATCGGTGAATGTAACCTTTTAGTATTTTGGAAACACAACTCCGAACAAGTTCAATACTTGGAGTCATTGAGTTGAGAGTGTATGGAAATACAACACACAGCATATCGCCGAATTAGGTCAGTATTTGGGATTGCATAAATCCCAAATACTGGTCAATAATTGGGATTCCATCAATCCTAAATACTGATGATCTAGTCGATTCCGATACTAGTGATCTGAGATTGAAGTTGACAGAATTTGAGATCGAAGTTGGGTTGACAGGAGTAGAGACCAAACGTTTGGTATTTCAACTGGTAGTTGATCAGTGTAGTAAATAAGATTGATTTTTCCGGTGACCAGTAGTTAAAAGATATAATTTTAAACGCCATACTACACGTATACATATATGTAAACGGAGTACGCAAACAAAATGCGGATTCCACTTACAATTTGCGGATTCCACTTACAATTTGCGGATTCCGCTTACAGTTGAGGAATCCACAACAGCTCAATTTAACTATACAAATGTCTTATTATTTGGTTGTGGACTCCACAAACTATTCTGGATTCCGCGATTTTGAGCGGTACAATGTTTTAGGTATTGGTTTGTGGAATCCAAAACAGCGAAAAAGACTAAAGAAAAGTAGCAAAGTTGTGGATTCCGCGACAAATCTGATTTTGACATGTTGCCGAATCCGCTTGCAATGCATAGTTTGGCCTCGTAATCACTAGCTTATCCTTTTCGAATTGAAAATACTCTAAGGGAATAATATTGAACAATAACATACTATGATATACGCAATTATTTAGTGATCCAGTAGCAACAAAGCGACACTGTAAAACAAACTGAAACTTTTCTCGGCGGTTCAAATCCCGGCATGCTCAAGGTTTTAAGCAGAGGCGAAGCTTCATTTCGCAAACACTAGCGAAAATTGACAAAAGCAACTCTACCAAGTGCAATATCGAAAAAAGGCCTCGAATTAGTTACAATTCGGCTAGGTCTAGGGTTCAATCTGCGACCTACTACCTTATAGAGATTTTGAGTCTCAAGCACTAACCTCTCAGCCACGCACGCTGAAACATCGACAAACACTTATCACGAAAAAAACACCTACATATGCTAATAAATTGCCAATGTCATTCAGCAAAAGTGGCACCAACTACAAAGAGACATAAATTTGAAAGAAATAACTTTGAAAAAAAGAAGGTTGTTAATAATACACTAACCTAACGCTAGTTTAAAAAAGGGAATGAAGCAAAAAGAATAATTTACTGCTGCTGACTTTTCAGAAAATTGATTGGATCAAGCTAAAAAAAAGCTAAAATGTAGCTAACAGACAGTTTGAAAAGAGTCAATGAACGTAAGCAATCAGAAAAAAAAACATACTTATTATTTTGAAAAAACTTCACATTTGAAATTTCGAAATAAAAAATATATGATTGACAATTTTTTTTCATGAAGTTAACTCAATTTGAGAAAATTGGACCAATAGATAAAATTTTTATTGCGCTGGGAAACGTGAAAACTAACATCCAATTTCGAAACTAGAAGTCGTTGACGTTTTTTCCGCGCCATTTAGACGTTCGTAATCAGAGATGGCAATTTACCAAACACCCAAAAAACAGACACAATTTTGCAACTAAAAATTTGGAATATAAACTGAAGGCATCCTAACTAACTTTGCATGCAACAAATCGGAAAGCATATAGCCACATTATGTATAACTTATGCATTTAAAAAAAATTGTGAGATATATTGAGCTAAAAAATTTCTGAAAACGAGTTTTTATTTTTGCTATGTTTTTTGAAACGAATAGTTTTTTTCGGTTCATTTGATGAATTTAAAATGCATCAACTGTGTTAGCTTATTAATATTCGAATGTCAAAATACATGCTATCAAAAAGCTGTAAGGGTGCCCGAAAAGTGGTATCAAAATTTGCGACTTAGATTAGAAAAAAAAAGAAAGTTCGTAACAAAAAGCCAAGCTGACGCTAGTGTAATTAAAAAGATAAAACGCTAAGCGTGGAGAAATGTTTAAGATGAGGCCCATAGCACAATTTCAATTTAAGATAGATGACACCAAAATTCCAAATGATACGAGCCATTTGTAAGTGAATTCTCAATTTAATTCTTCTGCGATTAGATTAACACATACAAGAAGTTATTTTATTGCCTCATCTATTTAATTCCGTACCTCTTAATTGGAAAAAGAACAGCAGGAGAAATAGTCAACTAGATTTTTTGTGCAAAAATTAGAATCATACCAAACTTTACAGAAAACAATTATATCGAAACTTGTGAAGTACCCCCAGCACACTTTTATTTTCAGAAATTCGACTTTCAACAGCCTACAAGAATCTACGAGGAGACAGTTATTCAAAAAACGTTATTTTTGGCTGATTAAAACAGTAGCTGTGTGATAGTTAACAAGGTCCAATAATATCATTAAGGTTGTAAAAAATTACTTGCGCTTTCATAAGAAAAAATTAACTGACCCGTTAAAGAAAGCACGATCCAAGTCTTCCTCTTCTCCTACTCGATGCAAGCGCGACAAAGGTGACCTCTCTTCTGGTGTATTGGCATGAAAGACTGGAGCTGCCGAGGAGTAGCCTTCCGTCTCGGATCCGAGCGAACTTTCTCGTCGGCTGCCTCCTTTTCTACCATCACGTGGCACGGGTAATATCGTGCCGTGCGAATCAAATAAACCTAGAGAAATTCGAATACTTTTGAAAGTAATTCATACAATTAAAGTAAGTAAGGTGATAAAAATAAACTTACTAGAATGATAGACTGAAGATGAAATTAATTAACCCTTCACCAGACAAGAGATATGCGAAACACATGAATCCTAAAATGGCACAAACCTAAGCTATACATGATGATACATAAAATAATACCACTTTTAAAATATTAACACCATCTCCCGTCATAATTTTTACCGACGTTTTATAACAATTTTCTAATCATACAGGACAATAACATGGAAGATGATGTCAAAATATGGCTGGGAAATATCTCATATGATGAAACCGATTTGAGAAAAAAATGCAATTTGCTTTTTTAACAATATTTCCTATTTTGAACGTCAGTTATATTCTATACCACTCCTGTACAATCAAATTAGACTTTTTAATTAGCGAATGACAAGATATAATTATTAATCCATCTGTATGATAGACCGACTGGTTAAGTATAAATAAAATCTATAGCCAGTAAGCAACACCACTCACCCATCTATTACAAAACAGTAACTGATAAAATAAAGACTATATGAGATGTGATGATCTCACCTCCTTGTTCAAAACCAGTTCTTCGGTCTCCTTCTCTCCTTTTACTTCGTCTCTTCAGAGGTTTCAGTTCAGCTTCCTTCTTATACAAGACTTCATTCTTGTTCAGCTTCGATGAAAGACCGTTTTGATGAGATTTTCTGCTCGGTTCAACAAAATTAGACGACCCTGTCCTTCTCTGAGCTTCTTCCTTTAAGTACTTCTCGAAATCACGTCTGCTTTTACTTCTGAAACAATCAAACCAAAACTTGACAATTACTGCTTGTGCAAAGTTTACAGCGTTGCATACCAGAGTGCGAAACATGCAGGTCTGTCGCATTATAGCCCGTCCAGCAAAATATAGCCCCCCCCCATGATAGTAAAATCAGTATGGCGGGGCTTTATTTTATTTTTTTATTTGGTGGGGGACTATAAAGGGAAAGACCTAAGTGTCCTTCTGAAAGAACAAGGTTGGTCATTTTTTCTTACTCTTACTCTTAAAATTTTTGGAAACCTCCCGCCTCCGTGAAAACTCACTGACGCAACCATCTTAGTGACCACATCTTCAAAACCCACGATTTCAATATCAGACAATTCCCATTTGAGAACATGAAAATAAACGGTGCGAAAAACTATATCATTAACATATTGACACTAAGCACGATATCATTGAAATACCATAATTAAAAACTCACTTAGGAACAGCAGCATAGTCCTTCGGTGATTGTTTTGCTCTAATTTGTGCTTTGATTTTCAGCTCATCGACCAATGACTCACTTCCAAATCTGAAGTAGTCATGACCTCGATTTGGGCTATCATAAGAGGTCATGTTCCAGCCAATAATCTCGAAAGTTTTTGAGCCTTAAGTAGGAATGAACATTTACCTGAAAAAATTACAATATGAAACGATTTTCAGTCTTAACTATAAAGGATCTGATGTGATAAAATACACAGTCCACACAAAGTACGTTACAATGCTGGAGAGAATTCCAGGTCAGGTCATTTTTCTTTAGCACTGTGAATGATAGGAACATTAACAGCTTTTCAAAAACTCAATGAGTGATTTAAACAAAAACACTTCAAGTCACAAATATTCAGCAACGAGGCAACACTTCAGGCACAAAAACATGTTTCAGTAAAAAGAAAGTTAGGATGATTTGCAAAAACAATTCATGCTGAGCTCATGCGACAAAATAATAGAACTTAATGAAAATTTTGAAGTCCCTACAAAACACAAACTCACCCATAACTATCTACTTTGGCCCATCAAACTACAAAACAATGACCAAGCTACGCCAATATTACATATGCATAAATCTTTTGAGCCGAACAAATTCGACGACAAATTTTGGAACAAAAAAAATTTAGCGATAGTCAGACCGGGATTCGATTTACCAACTCAATGCGGACAAGCCTCAAATGTTATCTCTACACTAACTGTGTCCATTAAAAGTACACAAATAAGTTTAAACACGTAAGCTTCTCACGTGCGAACTCCGCGATAAATGTTTTTAACGAGGAAAATAGTCTAATACCCGATTGCAAAACTCTCGTTAATCGCAAACGAAATGAAGTTAGATGGATGATGCATGGCTCTCAATGGAAGATGGATGGCTGACTGGATGGATGGCTCGATCGCAGGGAGGATGACCGCATGAATGCCTGGATGGATGTTTGGCTGAACGACGGATGATTGGCTGGAAGGATGGATGGTTGGCTGGAAAGATGGATGGTTGACTGGTAGGATGGATGTCTAGAATGATTATAGGATTGATAGTTCGATGGACAGAAAGCTGGATACATCGATGACTGGATAGACAAAGGCTGGACGGATGCTTGAATTAATGTATGGACTGATGGGTGCATCGATGAATGGCTGGATGGAGGCTAGATGGATGGCTGCGTATGTGGACGGATGGACACATGGCTGGATAAATGGCTGAACGGATGGTTCTGTAGATTAATGACTTGGTGTATGGATGGCCGGATCGCTGGTTAGATGAATTGATTGGAGGAGCACATGGACGCCCCGGATAGAGGACTGGCTGGATGTCGGGGCGGATGGATGGCACGATCGATAGATGGATGGCAGGTTGCATTAATGACTTGCTAGATGGATGGATTGTTAGATGGATGTATGGCTGGAGAGATGGCAATGAATGGATAGCTAGATGAATGACTGGCAGAGTGGATGGATGGCTTGCAAAAGGTGGGATGGCTGCCAGAATGGATGGATAGCTGGCAGGCTAAATTGATGACTGGCTGGCTGGATGACTAGAGAGCACGCAGGACGGATGACAGGAAGGATAGATGGGATGGCTGACATGCTGTATTGAGGACTGGATAGATGGCTCGTTGGACAGATGTGCTTGATATATCGCTGGATCATAAGCTCACAGAATGAACCGAAGAAGAAATCGATACACAGCTGGATGAGTTGCCGGATATATGGCTGGATGGAGGGACGGATGAATGGATGGCTTGCTGGACGAGTGGATGACTGCAATTGATGGATCGATCGACGGAAGCATGGATATATGATTCGATGCTGGAAGGATGGACAGATGAGATGGCTGACTACAGGTCTGGGTGGATAATGTACTGACTAATAAATCGATGGGTGGCAGGATAGACGGCAAGATGAATGAATAGCTGAACACACCGCTGGATCGAAGCAGTTTATGACTGATTGGATGGGAGGGTGGCTGCATAGATGACTCGCCTTGCCCTGCTTCACCCTTTCCTAAGTGCCATCCAGTGCCTTGCTTTGCCGCCACGCGCCTTGCCTTGTCCTATCCAGTCACACCATACATTGCCATCCGCTGCGTTGCCTCCCCTTGCTTTGCTTTGCCTTGCCCTTTCCTCCCCTGCGTTGCCTTGCCTTGCTGTCATCTGCTTATGCCATTCCTTCTCCTGCCTTGCATTGACCTGCCCTAAGTTGCCCTCAGCTGCCTTGCCTTGTCCTGCTTTGCAATCTCTCTGGCTTGCCCTGGCCTACCCCCTAGGCCTGCCTCGCTTTGCCTTGCCGTCACCTGCCTTGTCTCGCCATATTCTGTCATGATCCGACCTGCCATACCTTGCCCTCCGCAGCGTTGCCTCGCCTTGCCCTTACCTGCTTTGGTATGCCCCGACCTGATTTACCTATCCCTCCCCTGCATTTCCCGCCTCTGAATTGCCCTGACGTGCCTTGCTTTGCCCCCTGCCTAATTATGACAATTATCTCACAATTTGTCTATAAAATTCAACCTATTTCAAAAACAGACTCATCTAAAGAAGCAATTAACACGCTCAAAACGCTCGAGCCGAATTAAAGCACAGCATGGGAACGCAGCCATCGCTTGCCAATGCCTCGTTTGAAGTTATCACACTTGCGTCCTAGTTATTTTGAATCTGCTAAAAAAATCTGCCGAATCTTTTCCAGTTCCCACCCCATTGGTAAAAAAAAACAATATGAAATTTATAGAAAAACGATCATTCTACAAAAATCATGAGGGAGATTCTGTAAAACTTAGTTCACTTGTTCAAGCGTGCATGCTTTTTTGCAATTTAGAATGTCAAAGGTCACTTCTAATAGACTTTTGTAAACATGAATTTCAGAAAAACAAAAGAGAAAACTGGAACAGAGCCTATCGGTCTGCTAAAAGACCCAGCTGGCAGTACGAGCAAGCTATGTATGCAATGCTTAACCTGTAGATCCTAAATGGCTTGTTTCAGACGTTCGAAAACAATTGGCTCCTGAATGTAATTCAGCATTCGCCGTCTTTGCTATTTACTTAAATCGGATGGCTCGTTTCCAGTTCATTACTCGTCATAAATCAGGTTAAAACCAAGCAGTGTCACAAGGTGGGTCACTTAGTTTTAAACTGTTTAAAGCAAATGAGTAAACAACTGGATGTGCAAAAAACAGGAACAAAAACGTTTTTGTGTAATATTTTAATTGTTCTTTGACTACTTTTTTCATGTTTTGCTTAATAGTAATTTTGAAGAAAGTAGCAGAAATAGGGAACTTTTGAAAAAAAACCCACCCCGCAGTGTGAACAGTCAGTAGCGTGATAATGGGGGGGGGCAACGAATGGGCTTTTTCTTCAATTCTAGTTGCCAACTTTTTCCAAAGGGTCCCCACTTTGGTATAACTTTACGACATCCATTTTTGGCTGAAGAAAAATTTTCTAAGGGAGCCTTCGGCGCCAATATAACTAATTTTGAGGCGGGAGCGCGCGTCGAAACAACGCATTTTTTTTGTCCAAATTTTCAAAAAAGTGCCCAAAAATGCCGTTTTATGAAAAGGCGCTGAATGTTTTATGATAATTTTTGGCAAAATAGGGTCCTTATATTACAATCGGAGAGCTTTGAAAATCAAATTGGCCGACCTAAAAAGAAGTTCCGCAAAATTTTCAAAATTTTTTTGGAAAACCGACCTCCCCTCCCTCCGTAGAAAATTTTCTGCGCACGCCACTGTGAGCAGATTTAAATAAGTTTTTGTTGCAGACTAGCCATATGAACTATTTTCATCCCAATGAGGAAAGAACAGAAAACTGAAATAATGCTCAACGATCTTTTCAGATAACATTAAGTTATGAACATCGTATGAATTAGTGAAGTGGTTTCGTTTCACAAATTTGGTTTCATTTTCATCATTTTATATCGCGATGTTTCCATTCAAAGTGCCACTTAGAGATATAATAAAAACTGCACAAAAAGATAAGTGAAGATTGGCACTCCGAATCCAGGTGAAGTATCCGCTGCTCCGAAGATCTCTTTTCCCTTAGATGTTATATCATTCACTGTATCGGGAATCGCTTTTAAGAAGTTTCCTGTTTTGTTCTGCGCTACACTAAGTCCCTTTCTGGCCGAGTTCAGAAATTTTGTAATGGATGAAGACGAATCGGCGCCTGCTAGATTCTTAATATCTTCAATTCGGACATTTTTCAACGCATTTCGAAGCTCTTCGAAGGTCTCTCCTTCAAACGAAGTCAGTTGCTCGCCGTTATTTATTCTGACGCCTACTTTTTTGAAGGCAACTTTGAAGTTATCTGATAGGTTGAATGGAAAGTATCCGACGTTAAGAGTTTTCAACACAGTCGGTTGAAGCAAAAGTTTCCTCATAGGTCTTGCTTCAAGCGCAGTATTATTAAAAAGCGTCAAATCTTCCAGGGTCGATTTGTATTGTGCAAAAAACGATCCCCAATTTTTGAGGCCAGAATTGTTGACCAATTTCAAATTTTTGAGATAAGAAAGAGAGTTTCCTTCGACATCTGTCAGCATGAAATCAGGCGACACTTTTTCTACATTCGGAGGTAGGTTGATGATTTCCAGAGATCCATCTTGTCCAGAACATGTGCGAAGCATAGTAGCTGAACAAACACATTTGTCCCCTTCAGAACAACTGTATCTTTGTACAATGCTTGAAGCGCCCAAAAAAGTCAGACACAAATAAATAATTAAAAAGCTAGCAAGCATTTTCGAAGATGGCACTTGGTTTCTCTGCTCAATGTTTATGAAAAATTGTCTCAAAATTAGTTCATTTTCAGTTCACGGGGACCACGGTGAGTAATGACTTCCATCGTCGCAGTCAAAATTGAGTTGAATCAAAATTGAATTAAGACACGTGCGCTGGAAAAAATAACCAGTTATTGATGATTTTTCTTTTGAATTAGTATTTATGTCTTAAGTAGGGTTTCAAATGAAGGCTGCGTTCTACTGACAAATTTGAAGTTAAGCATGGACAGTATAATGGAACACTTTGAGGTTCTACTCTCCCCTACATTATGGGCTCTTTTCCAATCTCTTACCTTTCAAATTTTCTACTTTTAGTTGTTTTACGGGCTCTTTTCCAGTTCCCCCTTTTCAAAATACCGAGTTTTATGTTTGTTTTAATAC